ACCCCATTTATTATCAACTGCCGTACAGACTCATGTCTGACTCTTATGTGTCTACGTTTCCCATTGTAGACACTATTTTGCGCAACACAGATGGCAGTCTGGGAATCACAATGTATGGGAACAGCAGGTGCAGGGCACCCCCACAATGGCACGTCTGCCAAAAGATTTCTCAGCCATTCGGCTTCCTGACTTGCTAGATCTAGTGCTATGAACTCTGATTCCATAGTTGATCTGGCTATACAGGATTGTTTGGTTGACTTCCATGAAATCGCGGCTCCACACATAGTGAACACGTATCCACTAGTTGAGCTTACATCATCATCGTCATTTACCGACTGAGTTTATTCACAGCAAATGCAAGATCTGGTCTAGTATAGTTCATCAAGAACATTAGACTCCCAATTATCTTTGCATATTCTTCTTGAGACACACTGGCCTCTATGTTTTTTGATAACTTGATGCTGGGATCATAGGGGGTTTTCGCCGGAGTTACATCATAACTCTCAAACCTCTTCAGGAGTTTCTCCGTGTAATGACTTTGGGATAAAAGGTAACCTTTCTCCGTTTTTGTAACCTTTATCCCGAGTATTACATCAGCCTCCCCAAGATCCTTCATATCAAACTTGTCACATAGAGTTCTTTTAGTCTCTTTTATAGCTCCTAGACTTGAGCTAAAGATAAGCATGTCATCTACATAGAGACAGATTATTACGATGCTAGACTCTACCTCTTTTGTGTATAAGCAGGCATCTGAGCGGTTAGTGGAATAACCTAGCTCTAACAAAGTTTTATGAAACTTTTCATACCACTGCTTAGGGGCTTGTTTCAAGCCATAAAGAGATCTTTTAAGTCTGCATACATTTCCTTCTTGTCCTGGATCAACACATCCGGGGGGTTGTTCCATGTAGATCTCCTCTTCTAGTTCACCATTTAGAAAAGCTGTTTTTACATCCATCTGATGTACTATCAACCTGTGTAAAGATGCTAAAGCAAATAGAACATGTATAGTAGCTATCTTTGTTACTGGTGAATAGGTATAGAAGTAATCCTCACCGAATTTCTGTGTGAAACCTTTAGCTACCAGCCTGGCTTTAAACCTTTCAATTGAACCATCTGGTCTCAATTTCCTCTTAAAAATCCATTTACAGCCTATGGGTTTACAACCCTTAGGCAAATCCACTATTTCCCACGTATGATTAGACTGTATGGAGTCTAACTCACTTTTGACTGCTTCTCTCCATAGAGTAGCGTCTACAGATCGCATAGCTTCTTGAATGGATTTTGGTTCTTCTTCTAACACAAGTTGACATATAAAATGATCACACAGTTCATTTAGATCTTTCAATTCAGTCATATACGTTATGAAGTCTGAGCCGAAGTTTTTCTCAATTCTAGGGCTTTTACTTCTTCTAGGCTCTTCTGAATTACATGAGAAATCAGGGAAAAAAAGATCATGTTGAACTTTATTCGCATCTAGTTCAAGAACACCCTTCAAGGGAAACACATGTTCAAAGAAAACTACATCTCTAGATTCACATATTGTACAGTTTTCTAAACACATAAATCTATAAGCTGCACTATTTTCAGCATACCCAATAAAAACGGCATCTAAGGTTTTAGGTCCCAAGTTGGACCTTTTAAAGGACGGGAGTCCTACCTTTGCCAAGCAGCCCCATACTTTAAAGTATTTAAGATTGGGCGCATGCCCTTTCCACAGTTCATAAGGGGTTTTTTCAAACCCTTTGTGCAATACCCAGTTTAGAATGTGGTTAGCTGTTAGAACAGCTTCCCCACACAACGAATCAGGAGCACCTGAACTGATTAGCATGGCGTTGATCATCTCTTTGAGAGTTCTATTTTTTCTTTCTGCTATGCCGTTTTGTTGGGGTGTATAGGGTGCAGTTACTTCATGTATAATGCCAGAAGATTCACACAGATCTTTCAGGAAATTTGATTCATACTCCCCTCCTCTATCGGATCTAAGTCTTTTGATCCTTTTTTCCAACTGATTTTCTACTTCATTTTTAAAAACAACAAACTTTTGTTCGGCTTCACTTTTTGTTCTCAATAAGTATAATTTTGTATAACGGGAAAAGTCATCAATAAATGTTATATAGTAACGCTTACCACCCCGACTTTCAGTGGTTTTAATGTCTGCTAAATCAGTGTGAACCAATTCTAGCAATGATGAAGTACGATGCTTTACAGTTAAAAAGGATGTTCTAGCAAATTTTGCCTCAGCGCATGTTTCACATGTATCATTAGATAGGTTTGGTAGCATATTCACGTTTTTCAGTCTATTTAAACATTTTGCACCAACATGTCCTAATCTAGCATACCAAACATTAATTGATACAGCAGTATAAGCAAAAGAAGCATTCTTATTATCACGAGCAGTCAGAGAAGAACCAGATACATCAGAGTGATTGTTAACTATAGAGACATCTAGTACAAAAAGACCTCCACGCAGATATCCCTTCCCAATGAACTTCTCACAACGAGTCATAACCAGACGGTCAGACTCAAAAACCATCTTAATTCCAGCCTTATTTAGAAGGCATCCGGAAATCAGGTTTCTTCGGAGGGAAGGGACATAAAGCACATTTTGCAACAGTAAATGTTTTCCAGAACAAAGCAGTAATTCTACTTTTCCTCTACCACTTACCTCGGAAACGCTGGAGTTTCCCATGAAGATTTGTTCTCCATCAGTGATAGGCTCAAAAGTTTTGAATGAAGCTTTGTTGTTGCAAAAATGTCGTGAAGCTCCAGTGTCCACAACCCATTCGTCTGGATTTTCCACCATGTTGGCCTCAGTTACTACTGCAGCTACTAAATCAGCATCTTCTGTGTTCTCCATCAGGTTAGCCTGGTTCTTCGGCCTCTCGTTGTTTGGTTTCTGACCATTCTGACTCGTAGACCCTTTGCGCTGATAGCATTGGGCAGCACGGTGGCCTCGTTTTCCACATACATAGCATTCACCACTATTGTTCCCTTTTTTCTGAATTTTTCCACCCTTGCCACGAGTGGAATTGTTATTCTTATAATTCTTCTTTTGGTTTCTAGAATTGTCACCAGGTTTTGATTTCTCAAAGCCAGAGTTAGTTTCAACAATATTAGCTTTAACATTGTCAGTAAGAGTAACAGACCTTTGAACCAGGCGGTTTTCTTCCTCGATATTCACGCTATTAATTAGTTGTTGCAGTGTGTAGCTCCTTCGATCATGTTTCATTTTATTCTTGAAGTCCACCCAGGAGTCGGGCAGTTTGTCAATCAAAGAATCACATAGGACTACTTCATTAACTATCCCACCTTCTGCTTTCATGTCACCGACTAAATTTTCAAACTCATGTACCTGTTCGATTACAGGTTTGGTGTCCACCATTTTAAAGTGTAACCAACGACCCACAGCATATTTGCGTCTCCCCACATCATCGGCCCCATAATCTCAATCATTAAATCCCAAATTGCTTTTGCAGATTTGTATTCAGAAAACATATCAAACAACGGGTCACTTACACGTTGGAGAATGGTTGTCCGGGCAATCTTGTTATCTTTTTCGTATTTGATGCGAGCTGCCTCGGCTGCTGATGTATCTTGCGCTGATGATGACTTTGGGTCTTTGGAAGCATCTGTAGACTTCGAGTCTGTCGCAGCAGTTGAAGCCGTGGTCTGCAGTGCAAGCTGTGTAGTAGGCGCATTAAATTTCGCAGGGTATGCAAAAAGGACATAGTCCACATCCTTTGATTCCAGAAGCATGATTAATTTTGCAGCCCATCTCTTGTAGTTCAAACCACCAGTGAGTGGTTGAATAGGAGCAATATCTGACACAATGTTTGGTATTGCTGACATTTGTGACTCGACTTGGTATATAAATGTTTTTAACTGTTGGAGTTTTCTGCACTGTGGATATACGGTTTGGAACGAAAAGGAAAAACCAAGGTTCTGTATCGTGCGTAACACACTACCTTAAAAACATTTACGACCAGGGATTGAGTCTCATGCTTTCGACAGGCAAAACAGAACAAACTCGCAGGCAATAAACAATATGCAGGCTGACAGAATTTCGAAAGCAGTAGCAGTAGCGTTCTGCACTGTTTCTGTGTGTTTCTTACCATTCTGACAGCATGTATTTATAATACAATGTAGCAGAAGTGTAGCATCATCCCACCTCTCACTACCCACCTTTGTAGTGCTACAAAATAGCAGTAGACCAACTCTGCACACTCCTTCATGGAGTGGTGCGGACAAGGTCATTACATGATCCACAAAAATAGGGTAAGAAAAAAAGTTTTGGGAGCAAAACTTCCCACCCCACCGCACATCATGACGAGCCGAACAAGCAGTAGTGGTGTGCGTGTGGTTTACCTCTTTTCCCTTCTTATAACACTTCAAACTAGTTTAAAAGCCTTGGAGTATATAAGCAAGGAAATAAGAGGCTAATCTTTCAATGTGGGACAACATGAATAGGCTAAAAGAAGTCTTTCCCTTTAAATACTCCCAACAGCAGAATCCAATATCCATGATGCACTTGTCTCAGGACGTACCCTACTCCCCCTAAATATGGGCTTTGACATGTACCAACATTCATATCAACTTTTTCTTGTACACCCTTGCTGATTCATGTATCTTAGGACAGAAACGTCAGGTTTGTATTAATGTGTGGTGGCTGTGGAAAAGTATAAATGATAAACATAACTCTTTGAACTGCACCATGAATTACTCTCAAGTCCATGAAAAGATAAGTTAAGTCTGTTTAATTTCGAGACTCAATACTAAACTATACACTTTTACAGACTAAGGAATTCAACCCAAACCCAAACTTCTAATGTTCACGACAAGAATCAAATATCCACCCTACTACTGAAAGCAAGTTTTATGTGTAGCTTCTTTTTGAAGATAAGTTTTCTAGTCATATGAATGTAATTGACAAGACTAGGATCATCCGTTTTGAGTTTAGGAAGGCTAAAAGCTTTGCCTTCTAGCGATTTAATCCCAGGTCAAAAGCTACTAATAAAAATGCAGAGGCTAAGATCTTCAAATCAACAAGCTTCAGTACTAGATTCTACACAACAGTGCCACGCCTGAAAGCTAAGCAGGCGAGCCAGGTGATGCGGAATAATTTAAAAAAAAAAAAAAAAAAAAAAAAAAAAAAATTCACCAGATCCTAACTTCCATATCAGATAACCAAACCTTGAAACTAACTGAAAGTGAGCCAAGAAGTGCAAAAACCATTGAGTTGCCTTTCCATCTAGACATTCAGTGTTGCAATGACAACAGGTTTGAATAGCCGGTGTTTGCCTGCGGAAAACGCTTCTGATTTGTGAACCAACATTTACAAGTCTGTCATAGTCATTTGAAACATCTGCAGTCTCCATTTTACTTCTTCTTGCAAGAGTCCTCATGCTTAGCTTTAGGGTCATTTGGAACCGCTTCTTCAGGCTGTCTGGGTTGGGTAGATTCCAGCTTCTCCTGCAATGTAAATCTCACATACGTAACAAATTTACGAGAGAAACAATGGGAGGATACATACAGTCACTGATGAGTGTGCATCACGCACTAATGTCAAAACTTTAAAAGTCATGAAATCCGAGTGGTACTAGCAAAAAATAGAAGTAACATGAGGGAAATGAGTAGTAGAATTACCATTAATGTAGCATTTTCGAGCCTCAATTTCTCCATATCCTCTTTCAACTTATTCATTTCAGACTTGAGATTAACATTATCCTTGTTCAGGGAGTCGTAGCTCCTCACCACCTCCTCATATTCAGCCTGTATTAAAATTACAAAAACAAGTTGAGTAATGTGGAAATCCCAAGCTATTTTCAGTAGTACAGCTATAAGTCGTAACTGTATTCTTTTCTATTTGTTTCCTATTTTAGAGAATTTGGTTCTCATCATAGGAAAATGCTAATTGTGCTCAAATTTGTACCTGCTAACATGGCTTCAAAATCCTTTAAACGGAGTATTATTGGCCTTTAAACTCACCACAAATTCATCAAAGCAAACCACATTAGCCAGTGCAAATTTGAGTGCACTAGCATTATCATTTCATATATAACCGATCCAACATCCTATTATTTGGCTTATAATTCCTGGAGACTAAATTTTGTAGGAATTGTTTCCTTGTTTATGGCTGGATTATACAGTCACATTAGTATTAACAACTGGTCTTGTTCATGACCAAAATCGATGAAGAAAGAAAACCTTCTATTCTCAGAAAAAGAAAAGAAAAGAAAAAAAAAAAACACACACACACACACACAACAATAACATCAACAACTTCAATGGTATCAACGCTTTTTATTGAAAGAGGCAGAATCCAAACGGAGTGGATGAAAATAGGGAATTTTTAAAACTTGAACAAAAATAGGTAAAACTACTCTCTTTAATGCATTTGAGTCAAACAATTCTTACGTTTTCAAAAAAAAAAATAAATAAATAAAAAGCATTGGTGAAAAATAGAAATTAGCTCGAAACGAATTTAAGAAATGCGTTTTGGTGTAAAAATTAATTCTCCGCTAAATATAAGAAATACATAGTATACTATATTAATGAATTAATTTTCATTTACTGGTGCCAAACACATTAGCTTAATCAGTTAATGTGTTTGAAATCTATTCTAATTTCAATATCTAATTTTAATAAAGCAGAGTAAGAGGAGAACACTATGGAAATTTCAGAAACTTGAATCCTTGTACATGGAAATGCAATGTCAATAATCCCTGGGAAACATAAGAATTAACCGATATCATGATGGTTTAATATGATGTGGTAATTTTTAGATATAAAAATAGAAGTTATAGTGTTTTCCTGGGGATTACTGAGATTGCATTTCCATATACAAGGGTTCGAGTTTCTAAAATTTCCGTAGTGTTTTCCTATGACTGACCGCACGCTCACTCTGTTTTATTGAGATTAGAATAGATGCCAAAGCAAAAATTAATCTGTTAATAGAATGGAGGATGTATTTTTCATATTTACCGGAGTACTAATATTTACACCCGGCCTAATTTATATTTTTCACCAATGCCAAAAGTAAATATTTGAAAACATAAGAAACGCATTTATGATTCTCCATCTTTGCCTCCTATCCACTGTGGTCGTACACCTCCAAAGTCTCATCTTCTCAAATACTTCCAGTTTCTAGTAATGGAGGATCTGGTTCTTCCACTAACTTTCTCGTCATAAGAAACAAAAATTGAACAGGCAGAATTAGGTCCCATTAAGTTATGATGTTTATACATGGAAAAAGGAAAGATGGCTTCTTGGGGTGAAAATTGCAAGACCAAGTATGGGCATTGCTGTCTCACCTCAAGGAGGTTGGGATGCTGGGTTGTAAGCTGTCTGTTGGGCCCGTGGTTGTAATAAAAAATGTCTACACTCCTGCTGCACAACAGACAACAGACACTCTGACCAAGGCTCTTCCCAACGCTAAGTTCAAAGAAATGAGATACAAGCTAGGCTTAATCAATACCTTACAGCCCAGCGCCCCAGCTTAAGGGAGAATGTGGAGACCCCAAGTTATTTTCAGTAGTATAGCTATAATTCTTAATTGTACTCTTTGTTATTTGTTTCCAAATTTCAAAGTTCATATAAGAGTGATCCTATTATGCAGTTTTTAATTGCCTGATCCTTAGGAAATTTATAGGGATTGTTTCCCTGTTTATGGTTGGACATTACCAGCCACATTTAAATAAATATCTGGTCCTGTTCACAAGCCGAACAGATTAAGAAAAACTTTTATCTGATTCTTAAAAACTTCAAGAAAAATACCAGCAAACTAAACAAAATCACAACATCCTACCTGCTTCCTTAGCCTAGATCTCCTTGCAGATTCTCTGTTAGCTTGCTTCCTTTTCTCCCTTTTCAGCTGCCGTTCATCCTGAAGAAGCAGATATTTCACCTCAAATTAACAAAAGGTAAACACTGATACTTTCAAACAGCTTAAGCCTTAAGGACAAATATCATTTGAGTAGGATGAGTGCATATTTCAGGTCTTTTTTTAATAAATTCTAGAGACTGACTACACTCCCTATTTTTCTAAAATGCATAAAAGTTGGTACAATTGTGATATTATAACAATGAATGATTAATCTTTTTGAAATGATAAAATAACAAAGGATCTGAACTCAAATGAAGAACAATTTACTAACACTACCTGGACCGACACTTCAATGGGAAACCTTACAGCATTACGAGCGAAGCATATTTCTGGAGTTCTATTTAAGGAAGGCTGTTCTTTAACAGTTTTAGGGTCCTCCATACCTTCATTACTTTCATCAGTGGAAGTCGCAATGTCATCACTGCACATGATATGCAATAATAAGAAAGTGAAACGAGAGTTGGCAAGCAAGCATGACCTTGACAACGACAAAAGTAATGGACAAGAAAGCTCGTTCACTTCTCATCTACCTAGTTCATACTAAGGAAGGATCAGAGGATGAAATTATGAAGGATATCAAACCTTTGTGATGTCCCATGGACAGATCCTTCAGCATTAACCTCAAAGTTGTCATTAGTAATTGGCACAGCAAGCCCATTATGCCATTTTAACCTTTTTGCTGAATTTTGATCAATAGCCTCTGATGGCTTAGGAACCAATTCCACGCTTGAAGTAACTGCAGCCTAAGGAAAACAATATTAAAAATTAATATCTTTCCATGGACACCAGAAACACAACTATTCTGTTATTTATGTATATGAACTTAATTACAGAGTATTATTTATAAAAGTAGACAGGAAAGAAATCTTATGACTTGCAAATGAACAAAACAATCCCTCAGATATTAACAAATTTTCCAAACAATTTGTAACAAGCAAATATTCATAGACAGAATGGAGAAAAGCCAGCACACCACTGATAGGAAATAAAAAGAAAATTATTAGCAGAAAGCACTACTTACTAGCGTGACTGCAGGATGAGCATAAACAATTCCTTGAGGGTACATCATTGGATAAGGCATCCCATATGGGGGCATGAATGGCTACAAATAATGACATTCAATATTTATAAAGACTAAGTCAGTGGTTGCTCCTCCAGAAATTTGCCAACCCAATATGCTTTAGAAGTTAGAACCTAGAGAAAAAAAAAAAAAGGAATGCAAATAAGCAAAATTATCAGGTAAAAGAAGGCACACCAGAGTACCTGTTGAGGGGGCCACATGTGAATCTGCGGAACATGCCCAGTTGGTAGTGAAGTGCTTAAATATGAAGATGGTACAGGAAATTGCTGTAGATGAAGCAAATGTATAGCTTAAAACCAGTTTCTATTAAAAAATGATATCTAAACAAGTTTTATGCAGTGATGTTTAGGCATAAAAACTGGGGGAGGCCGGTGCTTCCGCTATATAGAGACTTATAGAGGGATATAACCTGAATAATGTCAGGAAGACTATTGCATCTCCCTGAGGTGTAGATGAATAGCTTCTCAGAAATAACTGACATGGATTTACCTCTCCACCCAGTTTTAAAAAGTGCTAAACATGTCGTGAGCCTTTGAGCAAGCACATATTTCCTAATAATAGATACCCAGGTAAGGTTTGCCTTTTTCTCTCATATTCCCATTATTAACATGTTATCATCCATTCTAACTGGTGAATCATAGTCCTAGATTGAACATCTCCAAACAATCTATATCAAATTTCTTTCATTTCCTCTATGTGCACTGCTTGTGAATTGTCTTAAATGAAGTCATCTCTAATATAGTCATTTCTTGCATTTCCACACCTCCATTTTAACACTCCCTTTTAACTTACTGCCACTTCAGGGATTCTCCCACCACACTGATATAGCGATTCTTGTATCATTGGAAACACAAATTGATTAGCATGGAAAATTTTCACCATCTTTTCCCACATAGCTCATCTTATCTCAGTAAAAATATATTAATATCCAGTTCCAACAACCATTTATAATTAAAGGGGCAATGAACCAGAGGAAAGTTAAAATTAATACTAACAACTAGTGGAGATCCCTTCAACTGAACTTTAGGCATTTCTTTTCAACAGCATGAGGGACTAACCTGTGCCGGTTGAGATCCTAGGTCACATTTTGGTGAGTTATTTTCCTCATCTTTACCCATTGTGTGCTTCTACACCTACAAAGGGTAATGCAAATGAGCCGCTGTGGAGTCTTGACATGAAGTACTATGCTTTTCAATTAACTTTTTGACAACTCAAGCAAATTCATGATCCTCTGAAGAATTAAGAGTTGTAAAACAAGGAAAGCAAAGAGTAGATATACGAAAAGGGGGGCATCAAATGCTGCTATAGACCTATAGTAGTAGAACAGATACACACCCTAGATAATTACATAATGAAATGTTGCAAAAATATATCACCTCTGACAGAGTGACAGAACCATCCCTTTGTCTATGTAAAATTTTATTTTCCATGATTTTATTGTTGGTTTTCAATCATCGCAAAGCATTTTACAACTACTATGGACTGGAAAAATGGCATTTCATCATCAGCTATTGATGGAATGCTGCAATTCACTTGCCACGTCTTTTTTTTACTATCCAATAATATAATCCCGTGGTTTTGTTGGACTTTACCTAAATTTAGGACCTGAAGAATCTAGCCCCAGTTTACTGATAGCTATCTCTGCAATAGAACGGGGACCATCAATAAACTGCCAACATTAGCAGATTATAAAATCGATAATCCAATTCCTTCATAAATCAAGCTCATTACTTCCAGGTTGAAAATCAGCTCTCCAAATTAAGCAACCTAAAATATTTAATCCCTAATGAACAACAGTATGAAAGTTAACAAAACATCAAAGTTTGCCATTCTTACACACAACAACAGACATTGCCACATTCTGATTTGCTACGGAGTAACATATATAGTGATCTTCCTTCAATCCTTTTTTTCCAATGCTATTTTTATTTAGAAAAAAAAAAAAAAAAAATTGTCTTAAGTTAACTTTCGACTCTGCTGTGTTAATTTAAGTACAATCGACTTCAAACGAAATCCAATACGAAGCAGGATTGATAACGACACCAGTAAAGGAATAATAATCGAGGAAACCACTGAAAAAACAGATAAAGTAGAAGGAAAATATGCACACGTCTTGTTTGATCAGCTATCCTTGCATTCAGGCTTTCTACACTATATATATATACATGGAATTGATATAAGCAAGGGAATATGGCTTACAGCAATCGAATTCGTGACTGAATGTTACTCCGTCGATTATAAAACAAAGGAGAAATGTAAAGCGGCTTTTTCTGGGAATGCGGGGGTTGAGTCTCCAGTGAACGACGGTGGAACGAAGGTATTTTTGCAATCTGCAGAGAGAGAGAGAGAGAGAGGGAGGGAAGACGAAGAAGACAAAAAGGTGGGAAGATAGGCCACGTCAAGCGACGCGTGGTGGTCTACTTTTCACACTTGTACAACTTGGCATACATTTGGCGTTTACATATCCAATTTCCACACTCTTGTTTCATATTCAGTTCTTCTTCTTCTTTTTTTTTTTTTTTTTTCGAAAGCTTTTTTTTTTAATGCTATTTTTACTTTATTAAGTTTATATCCAGAAATTCTAACGTAATACGAGTACTCCGTAATAAAATTCTTTTTTTTTAATGCTTATTAATTGACTGATATATCCTGAGTTAGAAAAATTTATTTAATAATTAAATATAAAATAAAATCTGACATATATAGTGTCACTGTGTCACATGAAAGTAAATATTTGCAGGACAGAAATGATGAAAGATTTGTCATATTACTTTATTTTATTAACTTTTAGTTTTTTATTTTACTTTACCTATTTGATAATTTGTCAAATAGTTAAAATGTATATCAGAAAGTTTTCACATGTGAAAGTCTTCTCACTTTATATGAGACAAAACTCTCCATACTTTAACGGTCGGGCAATGTCCCATGAAGTCATGAACTAATACAAATCGGTGTTCTTAAACCATTAATCTTCCCCTTTTAATTGAACTTATGTGTCTACACAAATTCATAGGAAAGGTGAGTCATATATATATATATATATATATATATATATATATATATATATATATATATGAGAGAGAGAGAGGTTTTAGTAAAGAACATGATCCCAGTAAAAAGTGATGACTAATTTGATTCATACGTTCAGCGGATAAGAGTTGTTAAAAAATAAGAGTTAAAGATGAGGGGTCAATTTTATAAATACTGCAAACATGAAAATTTATAATAATTTTAAAATTAATCTCATATTTTTTTATTAAAATTCGAAGCAATGATAAACCCCTAACAGGGCGTTTGGTTGAAGGGATTTTAAATTCTCTTCCCACTTAATTCCAAAAGCCATAAAATTTCCTTGTTTAGTTGAAAGGAATTGCAATTCTATGGAATTGCAATTCCTCCATTTTCATGGAATTAAAATCCCATGTCCCCCTGGGATTTTAGGAAGAAAAAAATATAGTGATGAGTCAAAATTACCCCTCCCTTATTTAACCTAAAATAAATGTTTGACAACAACAGTTGATATTTTGGACTTTATACTACTTATTTCCTTTCAATTCTCATGTATACCAAACATTGGAATTGAAATTCCCAGTAATTCTATTCCTGTCAACCAAACATTTGAATTTAAATTCCCACTTTATTCCCATAATTCATCTCCCATGGAATTGCAAATCCTTTCCCACGTAATTCTCCCTCTCTAACCAAATGCTCTGTAATAGACGGCTAAAATCAATCCTCACTTTTTACAGAAGTGCTATTCTAATTTAAACCGATCAAGTAGGACCAGGGCAAACCGAAAGCTTTATAAGTAATGCCAGCTTGCGCTAGTAGGCTTTTTCATATATATATATATATATATATATATATATATATATATATATATATATATATATTTGAATACTATTGACTCTGTTACAATGTAATATCTATTCATAATGAACTCATGACTTCCTATTTGGGAGAGTCGCTTTGTGCCACTAGACTATCCACAAGGTCATCAAAAGAAATTACAATGGAAATCTGTCTAAATGCACTTAATGTGATTATAATTGAATTACATGGTATGACCAACAATTACATTTATGGTAATTATATATAAATGTATTTAATTTCTATAATTCGTATGATTATAATGGAACGGGTAAGGAAATTATGTTTGGGATTATCATATAATTCATATGATTATCACTGAAATTAAATGTAGAGAATCTCCTGCGCAATTACAGGAATTATGTAGGAATTACTAGGCAATCTGCCTACGCAATTAAATATATGGAGCCTGGTCTAATTATAAGTGCATTGATATACTTTCAAAAAAAAAAAAATAAGTGCATTGATATACCTAGATAAATGTTATATAAGTTTGAACTCCAAACTTAAAGATTTGGAGATTAATTAAATGGGTAGATTACGGAATGTGTCTCAATTAATTTACATACTCTCAAATGTTTATACACTAATGTCTACAATGTTAAATTCATACCTTTTTTTTTTCATCATTGTTAAGATCTAAACCCTACACCATGCGACTGCTAGTAAAGCAAAGGCAAATTATAATGTGGACTAGGGCATGGTGGACCATACTCCAAAACGACGTCATTTTATTTTTAATATCAACTAGTATTTCCACCCGTGAGATGCACGGAATGGAATTATTGTAATATATTAAGAATATTTAAATCGATATATAATTATTTAAGAGTTAATTTCACCAGAGGTCGCTTATCTTTCCTGACAATTCCAAATTTAATCCTAGACTATAGTTATTAATTATTACGATTTATTCTATGTTATAATTCTTAAGTTAATATTCTTACTATTATTATTAACACTTAATTACTTTTAGATATTATTATTACCACTTATATTATTATTATTAGTTTCTTTTCAAGTTCTGTTAGTATATAATGGCCGTGAGGCACAATAATAATATAATCATTATTAAATATTCTTGTATTGTATTCCGTGAGTCACAATAATAATATAACAATAATTACATATTCTTTTAGGATTCCTATTACCATCATTAATTATTCCCTAATTTACCATAATTAAATAATTTGACCAATTATAAAGAAAGATTATCAAATAATGCACGGGACAATTTTTTAATAAAAAATTTTAAAAATTCATTAATAAAATATAATGTTCTCATAGTTTTTTCTTAAAAACTATTTAATAAAGCATTTATTTTAGAAATTGGTGGGTCAAACCGCTTACGGCAGTTTGCGGTGGATAGATCTCAAAAAAAAAACAAAAGCGATTTCAAAAAAACATTTGTCCAAAACGGACAACCGAGTCAAAAGTTATACCGTGCTGAAGTTTTGACACATTACAATTTTAAAAAAAAAAAAATTAATCGCCGGTTCACCCGGAGAGGTGGCCGCGGAAGATGCCGATTCTGGCCTTCATCGCCACGGCCAGCAACGCGATTTTTGCAACATTGATATATAGTATAGATATAGATTAGAATAGGAATAGTTTGCAGAATTATTGTACGAATGGGAAAGTAGAAATCAATATATTTTATTAGGAAGAGAGATTTTTTAGGAATTGGGCGGGAAGTTAAAATTTCAGGATTTTGTTATTATACTAGTTTTTTACGCGCATTGCGCGATTGGGATAATGCCCAATTTTATTTTATTTTTTTTTAAATAAGTACTTTAAAGTATATTAAGGCAGGATTATATTGAAATTGTTCATGCATAGATAATTGAAGGTTGAATTTGCGTGTTTAAATAGGTAATTCTTCTCCCGAAGGTTGAGTCTCCAACCCCAAGGGCCCCCCACACTCCGACCCGACAGAGCATTGTGGGAGGTTGTAAATGCTGATACGCACAAGGAATCTGCCCACTTTGGACATAATTCCCGCACTGCCGCCGCCGAGGTTCAAATCTTGGTCTCTTCTCCCAAATACTATCCACTAAATCATTGAGCTAAGCCGGTGCGGGTTAAATAGGTAATTTTAAGTTTACAAATGCAAGATAATATAGTCAAGATTGATTATAATTTTCAATAAAATAATTGTATAGGTATGATTGAAACCAAATACGGAACATAAGGGAGAACAAATAAAAATTAGGGCATAAAATATTAAATATATACTAATATTGTTTGAGGAGATTCCGACATTAGGATTTGTGGTTAAATTCTATTAAGACTTTAATATTAGAATTAGATTAATGGTGTAATTATAATTCTATATTAGACTTTAATATTAGAATTAGACTAACGGTGAATTAACGAAAAAATTAAATGGATAATCATATAATTAAGGATAAATTAGAAAATCTTAAAAGAAAAAAGTTAAAACCTGGACAATATGAACCATTCATTTGATTTAATAATTTGGCGGTCATTTTTTCTACTCAATGTTAATAATTAAATAAATTCGCTGGTCAAATCCGCTAACGCTAACCCCTAACTGCTGATTGTCAAACAAGGACATTGCGAGGTAGTTCTCCCTTCAATTTGTTGTGTGATTTGAATACTCTCTTTGTCACAAAATCTCTCAAGTAGTTAATATGGTTGGCTTTATTAATTATATTTTTTTAATTTTTTCATGGTATTAATAAAATACCTGGTAAATAAATATATAGCATTATTTTGTATTATAACGTTGATATTTAATTAGAAAAATAGTGCACAAAAAATATAATAGATAATGTAGTGAATATAATCAATTGATGAATTTGAATGTAAAAATTTTTACATTTGAGAAAAATAAAGACAATATAACTAATGAAAATATTTCTTTTAATTAATTTATTGATAATTAATAAAAAAAAATTTCACTGAATAAAGACATTGTAAGGATAATGTAGCGAATATAATCAATTAATAAATTTGAATATAAAAAATTTTTATATTGAAGAAAAATAAAGACAATATAACTAATAAAATTATTTCTCTTAGTTAATTTATTGATAATGAATAATTTTTTTTTTGAATAAAGGCATTGTGGACACATAATTATAAATTAAAGAAATGCATATGTATTATTTTTTGTTGTAACTACTAAATTATTATTTATATAATTTAATAAGAGTAAAATAGAGTACTAATTATGTCAACTTTGATTGGGATGAGATTCGAACCTAAGACCTTTTTCTATTGAAATCAATGAGTAAGTTAACGGTGAACTAACGGCAATTCTTAAAATTTTAACGGAATTAGTAACGGTGTGTGGGTATTTTAGGAAATTTGAGTGTAAAATTTAAATCTGATCAATCTTTCAATCAATCTGAGCCATTCATTTGATTAAAATCTGTGACCGCCATTTTTTCTACCCATTATAGGCCTAACTCTCTTGGGCTCTTATTAGTATAGTAGATATAGTATAGACTAACCCGTGCATCACCTTTAATAACACCATCATGTATTATGTTCATAATATTTGTTCTATATGCCCATAAGCCTAAACCTTAATGTTCATAAACACTAAACTAAATATACATCATATGCATTTCCAATCACTCTATAGTAAGTTCATAATGTTCATTCTATATGTTCATAAAAAATAAAGTTTAATATACATAAACATTATGTTTACAGACTAATCGTGTTTAATAACATTTATTATGTACTATACTACTATGTTAATAATATTAGTTCTATATGTCCATAAATCTAAACCTTAATGTCCACAAACACTAAACTAAATGTACATCATATGTGCCAAGCACTTTGTGCTCAGGTGGCATGTAATGACCTCTCCCATGTGGAAGGTCATGAGATCGAGCCTCAGTGAAGGCGTTGTTGACTCTTTGTGCTTCATTAAGTTGAAAAAATATATTTGAACATTACAATGTAATAGAGTCAGTAGAATTCAAAAAAAAAAAAATGTATATCATATGTTTTTCCGTTCATTATATAGTAAGTTTGTAATGTTCCTTTTATATTTTCATAACAACAAAGCTTAATGTACATAAACATTATACTAGTATCATTCATGTTTAATAACACTCATCATGTACAATATTTATAATATTTGTTCTATATGTCCATAAACTTATACATTAACGTTCATAAACATTAAACTAAATATACAACATATATATTTCAATTCACTTTATAGTAGATTCATAATGTCCATTCTATATTTTCGTAAAAACAACACTTAATGGACATGAATATTACACTAAAATAATGACTTTATATACCTATATAAATAAATAAAATAATGGATAAGAGTCAAATAAGCTCTTAAAGTATAATTGATTGTACAATTACCCCTCAATCTATGAAAAACTCCAATTGAATCCTCCAATTCATCAAATTAGTACAATCCAACATATTAACCTATACACTTCCAGTTAAGCATGACATGTCACCATTGTTATCGCAAGTTGTCATTGTTGTCATTGCCAGTTGTCATCGTTGTCGTTGCCAACTGTCACCGTCCCGACTAGTGTCTTCATAACCTTATTCTGGAAAAGGTGACAGTCGTCACCTCCTTCCAAGTGGAAGGATGCGACAACGTTTTGCTTCCTTTCGTTCTACGAGTCAAAGTCACATCCTTTTATTTTGGAAGGAGGTAAGACGTTGCCTCCTTCTAGGTCAGAAAGAGCTGACAACATTTTTCCTCCTTCCAATCTGGAAGGAGGCAATGTCACCTCCTTATAATCTTGAAGGAGACAGGACGTCACCTCCTTCCAGTTCAAAAGGAGGTTAGATGCGACGATGTGTCGCCTCCTTCCATATTGGAAGGAGGCTGCGAACATCGTCAGCAGTAGTTAACAAAAAAAAAAAGGATAAAATAATTTTTTAAACAAATATTTGTTGACTGGTAACTTGTTGGTTATTGGTAAATAATTAGGTTTACTTGCACAATTTTATAGAGTTTAGTGATTTAAATGAAAATTTTTAAAGTTGGAGAACCTAATTATTTTTTCGCTGAAAGTTGAAGGATCTATTTGATCATTTTTTCATTAAATAATTACAAATTAGTAAATGGGAAAATGACATTTTTCCCCCCTAAATTATATGTTTATAGCACATTTTCTCCTGAATTATTCATGTAAGTATATTAGTCCCCTCAATTATTCTAAAAGTGACAATTTTCCCACTAATATATTAAATTGACATCTCTACCCTTAAAGTAAACATTTTATTTATTTTTATTCTCGAACAAATGATTGTCTATATGTAGGGATGACCACGGTTCGGTTCGAACTGAACCGGACACTATAGCAATCGAATTGAAAGTTTCCGATTATAATTCAGATCTAGAACCCAATATTTGGATTTCAGTTTATTAAAATTATGAATAGAAAAAACTAGATCGCGAACCGTGTATCGGCGATTCGAATTAGCATAACTACTAGTTTTAGTTTAAAATTAGAATTATACGGAGTAATATTTACAAATAGTGTAGGTTCTTTTTTACATTTATTCTGATTCTCACATATAAGTATATATGACCGCGATTTGGTTTTTATTTTGAATCGCCGATTCACGGTTCCGAATCCAGTTTGAACTGATGGTTCAAACTTTTTTTTTTTTTTTGATAAAAAGGAGGGGGTTACCCAGAAACTATCTACACATGATATCCCCTCAGGTAGAGGGCACCGATCTGGTCACGGCTAATTTCTTCACTAACTTCAAAAGGCATATCCGAGTGAGTTTGTAGCCCGATTGGGTGGGTAAGGGCTAGATTGGCTAGGGTGTCGGCGGCCCTGTTTTGCTCTCTATACACGTGTTCGACCTTCACCTCACTGAACCTTGCCATCTCTCGCGCACACCAGCTAATAGTATTCAGGTTGCAGCGCTGCCATGCGTTATCCATTGTCAGGTTGTCTATAGTCACCTTCGAGTCGCATTCCACCACCACCTTGGTTGCACCATACTCATTCGCCATCCTAAGACCATGCAGCACCGCCCACGCTTCCGCATCATCGATCGAGCATAGGCCAATGTTGTAAGTGAAGCCTCGGCACCACCTCCCTTGGTAATCTCGGAGCAAACCACCACATCCCGCTCGTCCGTCCCTTTTGCAGCACCCGTCGGTGTTGAGTTTGAACCAGCCGGCGTCAGGTTTCGTCCAATCCACACTGTGGACCTCCATCGCTTTTCTCCCCGTCCCCTCCACTTGTGTAGTCGCGAAAGCTGCACTCACATCCGCATCATAACTCTCGAGTCAGGCCATGTATCCCTTCGCCCCCCGCTTGCCCCTCATTGTATGCATGACTTCCTGAAAAATAAGAATGTTATCAGTTATCTGTCTCCCGAGAACAAAAGAGTTATGGCCATGTATCTATTTGATTGCTATATTATCTGTTCGGTTTGAACCAAATCGTGGTCATTATTTGTTGGAGAAAAAAAAATAAATGGAATATTTATTTTAAGGATAAATATGTCCATTTAACATTTTAGGGGGAAAACTGCCACTTAAATAATTCAAGGAGAAAAAGTGATATAAGTATATAACTCGGGGAAAAAGTGCTATTTTTCTTTACGAGGCATTTGGTTGGAAGGAAGGAATTAAGAGGGAAAGGAATTGTAATTCGGTGGGAATAAAGTAGAAATTCAAATTACGTTGTTTGATACTTGGTAGGGAGAAATAGAATTATTGGAATTGAGAAGGAAATAAGTTGTATAAAGATTAAAATACCCTTATGTAATAATAATAGTAATAACAACCAAGAGTAGTAATGTCATTTTATATGTTTTTCCTTTCTGAAATTCATTGAATTGCAATTCATGGGTGCAATTCTGTGAAATTGCAATTTTCTCCAACCAAACAATGTAATTAAGGCATTCATTGAATTGCAATTTAACTACAACTAAATTACAATGAACCAAACGCCCTCTTAATAAATTTGTATTGTAGTAAACTGCTTATAATTTTAAATTATTATTCTTGTAATTAAATGTACTGTTTGTATTGTAGTAAACTGCTCTCAGAATAGAGGAGAAATCTGAACTCCGAAGAGCCTCACGCTGAACTTCTCTGGCTCGATCCAATTCCAGATCCGAATATGAACGACGCAGATGTATCCAAGCAGATCCAGCAGATGGTCCGATTTATCCGCCAGGAAGCGGAGGAAAAGGCCAATGAGATTTCTGTCTCCGCCGAAGAAGTAATTATTGGTTGGTTTAAGTGGAATTTCGACTTGCAGAGTAATTGATTGAAATAATTTTGATGTGCTTCGTTTGCTATTAATTTTAGGAATTCAACATTGCGAAGCTGCAACTAGTGGAAGCAGAGAAGAAGAAGATCAGACAAGAGTATGAGCGCAAAGAGAAGCAAGTCGAAGTTCGTAAGAAAATGTAATTGCAATGTTTCCGGTATTTGAATTGCTTGATTTGCAGCTCTGCTCTTGCCACTAACTGTAACTGATGATCTGGTTAATGCGGTTTTTTAGTTTTAGCAATAGTCCATAGGCACATTGTGTTGGCTTTGTATTGCATCAGATTCTGAGCAATGCAAGATAATGATCAAATTAGATTACTAAAATACATTTAACAAGTCACAGATAGTAGGTTTGCCATTTTCTTTGAAATTCTGGTTGACATAAAAAAGATAAATACATATGATTATTTGTATACTTTTTGAGAGAATTTTCACATTGTAATGAAGCTTTGTTAGACCTACTATTAATATATGGGCTTTGTTGAGTAACTTGACTTTCTATTACATCGTATGTACCATTCTGTCTAACTGAGCATGCCTATTAAAGTTCATATTACCGAACAGATTCTTGAATTTGTGGTGTCTTCTTGCAGTGAGTACTCCATGCAGCTAAATAGTTCACGCATCAAAGTTCTTCAGGCTCAAGATGACTTGGTTAACTCTATGAAAGATGCAGCGTCAAAGGAGCTCTTGCATGTGAGCCATGACCACCACAGCTATAAGAAACTTCTGCATGATCTTATTGTTCAGGTAGTGAGTTTAAGCAAATCTTTTTATTGTAATGTGTTTCTCTTAGTTTTGGAATCAAATTATTGATGGTCCGAATGTCCGAGATTCATGATCTAAGCAAACACTTATTTTTATTTATTTATTTTGGGTGTAGGAATCTCAGGACAAGTAAGCTTTATGATGAAAAATTATTTAACCAATGTAGACCTTAGTTAGATGTCCAATGATGCCCGTTTTGGATGTCATTGTTTAAATATGTATATCATTCTAGAAGACCTCTGTATTAGTTTGATCCAAAAATTACTTAGAATGAGGATTTAACCTTGCCTTGTTCATTATTGCATTGGAGTGAGAAATATGAGTAATATTATTAAGAGCATTGTAGTATTAGATATGAAGTATCTTGTAGCACATTCTGCATGACTTATTCCACTAACCAGTGCCAGTTTTCTCACTATTTATATACTTTAAAGTTTATGTACTTGAATCAATTTAAAAAACTGTTCTTTAATTTAAAAACAATATTTTCATTTTAGAACTGAAATTATGCTTGGTGGCTTTGTTATTTGAAGCATGTGTTTTGTATTTTTAAGGATAATGATAACTTGCTAGTCTGAAGTTCTCTGCCTGCAATTATAACTGCAACACACTATGTTTCAGAGTTTGCTAAAGCTCAAAGAGCCTTCTGTTTTACTGCGCTGTCGGAAAGATGATGTGCACCTGGTGGAAGATGTCTTGCACTCTGCCAAGGAAGAATATGCAGAAAAGGAAAGGGTTCACCCACCTGAGATCATAATTGACCACATCCACCTTCCACCTGCTCCTTCTCATCATAATGCACATGGTCCTTTCTGGTATGTTTGTTTGAACCATTCTATTACGAAATGGAAACTGTGGAAATTGACTTTGTTATTTGAGCCCCTCTCACTAATTTTCTTATTTCCTTTTCTTACAGCTCTGGAGGAGTGGTCTTGGCGTCTCAAGATGGAAAAATTGTGTGTGAAAACACTCTAGATGCAAGATTGGAAGTTCTGTTCCGTAAAAAACTTCCAGAGGTAAATCCCTTTTATTTATCTCCTTTTTTCACTATCCATGTTAGGATGCTCTCAAGCATTTTACAGATCTCCATAGCACCGCAGTGTTGTTGCCATTTCCATTTTCTGGTTTCAACGAGTCTGATTGTTATTTCAAATGTTAACGGCTTCAATCTAATAAAAGTTGAAGGAAAAGGAAGACCTTAGCAATTTTACCTTGATAAAATTATCCAGTTAATTAATCAGCTGTGATCAGTGTATCAAATGTTATCAGTAATCTATGGAGTCATTCCCCTGCTCTACATTATTTATATATCTCTAGGTTGCCAAGTTCTTACACTTGTATACACTTTAACTAGATCTCCATTCTGTTAACTGCAGATCCGCAAGTTGCTATTTGGTCAGGTTGCAGCCTAATAGATTGGAGGTCTTCATACACATTCGGTTTTATTTCTTGATCTCTGTATTCTTAAATCTGCAACTCTGTGACAAGAAATGATATCGGTGATTTCCTACTCGTGTACTTCTGTAGCGATGTTTCATGGTTCTTGTTAACAGTTAACACCTACCTTCCATTTATGAAGCTATCATTCATTCATTTTAATTGAGGCATGGCAAAAATACTTGCTTTAAGGTAATATATTTCCGGAGATTCTAGCATCAGACTGGTATTGCCATTTTTTGCTGTAGTAAGTATAAATCATTTGAACCCTATGTTTTGGTGGCTTGAGAATTGAGTCACAAACTTGACTGTTGCTCCATGCAATTTATTACCAAACAAAGTGACTCCTTTCACTTAAACTCATTACCAAGTATTTAATTTTCATTATCATTCTGATTCCAAATGTTTGAACCAAACACACCATAAATGTTTGTAAGGAAAAAAAAAAAAAAAAAAAAAACTGTCAAATAAGTCTTTTAAGTTGAGTGGGTGGGAATGCTCAGTTTAATCTCCTATCAGTACAAAAGTACAGAGTACAATTTGGTTTAAATGTTGTAGCTAATATGTGACTTTCTGGTACTTGTGTGGATTTCAAGTGTACAATATATTTATTTTTTAATTTTTTTTGAGTAACGAGGGAAATACGTAATTACTATTTAAAATTGTGCATGATATAAATATCATTTTGTGATCCTAACTAAACAAAAAATTTCAAAATTTTTAATAAATAAAACAACCACAAGTGACTTGTCCTCTCCAATGTTAGATAGTTGTGTATATACTATTGATTAGAAAAACGTACTATTGATTAAAAAAGCTCACAACTACCCTGACATCGGAGACAACTAATAGTTGTTTATAGAATAAAAAATATGAGTAGCATTTAGACAAATATTATTTTTTTTTAAAATTAAAAAATAATGCATTTCATGTAAAAAATTTAAAGAACAAATTGCACTTTTGGTCCTGTGAGTATTAGGGTACTGACAATTTGAGTACGTGGCTTTCAAAACTCCCAATTTAGACCTTTAACTATGCAAAAATTGACACATTTGATCCTCCGGGCCAAATTGCCGGCCAATTTTGGCCGGAAAAACATAAATTGGTTCGAATTTATTTGTGTTGAGGGCAAAATCGTCATTTCACTCCCTTCTTCTTCATTCTCCCTTTCTTCTTCGTTCTTCTTCTTCTTCTTCTTTCTTTCTTCTTCTTTGCTGCTTTTTTACCGACCCAATACAATGCATGAGCCATGATTAATTAATTTAATAAAAAAAAATCATCTAAATTTCTCTCAAACCAAATTTGGTAAATCCAACAATCACCCATTTTCCAGTCTCCTAAATACATAAAAATAATACGGTTGTACATAAAAAACATATATGTAATCAATAAATACATAAACATATATTGTTGGCTCATGAACTTTCCAAGCCGCCGCTGAGGTCCCTCTCCGTCTCCGCCACTGTCGGCGACGCCCTGTCCGTTCTTAGAAGCTCGGAAGGCATCTCCATAAGCGTGTGGATATAGTGATTTATATATGAAGATTATTTCATGAAGGGAATTTAAGAAAATTTTGCGAAATGATTAATATATTCTTTAACAATTTAGAAATTCAAAATAAATTATTAATGATAACAAAAGCTACAAGTAATAGATTAAAGAAGCAGCAAAGAAGAAGAAAGAAAGAAGAAGAAGAACGAAGAAGAAAGGGGGAATGAAGAAGAAGGGAGTGAAATGACGATTTTGCCCTCAACACAAATAAATTCGAACCAATTTATGTTTTTCGGGGCAAAATTGGCTGGCAATTTGGTCCGGAGGACTAAATCTGCCAATTTTTGCATAGTTAAAGGTTTAAATTGGGAGTTTTGAAAGTCACGTACTCAAATTGTCAGTATCCTAATACTCACAGGACCAAAAGTGCAATTTGTTCAAATTTAAATAATACACACAATTTATTTTGTGTTATACAATTATTAATCAATTTCATGTACAAAATCTTTATGCTTAAGGTATATAATTTCGTAACATGATGTACAGAAATGCATAACACAATATAAATACACATGTTTTCCTTTTTTTTTTTTCTTTTTTTTTTTTTTGAAAAAAACACATGTTTTATATTTTACTTTTTTCTCAAATCTTATTTATGTAAATAATTTATCTCCTATATACATATAATTTCATAATACAAGACATAAATTCATCAAATAATACACACAATATATTTTGTGTTATACAACTATTAATTAATTTTATGTACAAAACCTTTATGCTTAAGATACAGAATTTCGTAACATAATATACATACACATACTTTCCAAAAAAAAAAAAAAAAAAAAATCTATGAGACGCAAATTGAACAACAAACGGATTCCATTAAGACGTGTGAGACGATTTTATAGGTGAATTTGTCTAAAATAAAGCCTAACAGAACAAAGATTTGAGTAAGGGTGTTGAATGCTAGTTTAACAAATATTATGTGGTTTAAATATAATATTGAGAATATATAGGGAAAGACTTGAAATATCTAAAACTGCTATTAGTTCGTTACCTGTCGCCTAAATCACGGTCAGACACGAGACTACAGACTCCGCCTTAGACAAAATATAGAAGAAATCTGAACTCCGAAGAGCATCGAACTCACCTTATCGGGTCGATCCAATTCCAGATCCGAATATGAATGACGCAGATGTATCCAAGCAGATCGAGCAGATGGTCCGATTTATCCGCCAGGAAGCGGAGGAAAAGGCCAATGAGATTTCTGTCTCCGCCGAAGAAGTAATTATTGGTTTATTTGGAATTTCGACTTACAGAGTAATTGATTGAAATAATTTTGATGTGCTTCGTTTGCTATTAATTTTAGGAATTCAACATTGAGAAGCTGCAACTAGTGGAAGCAGAGAAGAAGAAGATCAGACAAGAGTATGAACGCAAAGAGAAGCAAGTTGATGTTCGTAAGAAAATGTAATTGCAATTATTCCAGTATTTGATTTGAATTGCTTGATTTGCAGCTGTGCTTCTGCTACTAACTGTAACTGAAGAGTTTCTGGTTAATGCGGGTTTTAGTGTGATCAATAATAGTCCATTGAGTTTGTTGTATAAAATTCATGTTTTTTTATGGATTTAATTATATGCTTCTTTTGTGATATTAATTTGGTACTTGGTTGCACATTGTATTTGGCTTTGTTTTGCAATAGTGTGAGAGCAATGCAAGATATAGATCATAGTAGATTACTAAATACATTTAAGAAGTCACAGATAGTACTGAATTTAGTGATCATGTTTTATCATTTATCTTTCACTTGTTCATTCTTGTGATTATTAGTCTTTGCAAGACCTTTTGGAGCGCTTGCAGAGCAATCGCTGTAGCTTTGACTTTACATGGAATATTATAAGTAGAAATTGGGCTGTAGTATTATCAGAGACAAACTTGGGAAAAAATATTGAGTTTTAGACACTTATCTCCTCTAATGATGATGAAAGAATGTCTTACACAGTTCTTTAGTGGATAGACTTCATGAATATTTTGTTTCCTGTCTGATAATATATGTGCTTCAGTGTTCAGCACTCAACAACCCGCCTTTCCACTTTTTTCTCTACCTACCCTTTTCTGTTTCGAAGGTATTTATGCATTGTGTGAGAGGTTTACCATTTTCTTTGAAATTTTGACTGACATCAATAAGATAAATATATTATTGTTTTTATGTGACTTTCTGAGATATTTTTCACATATTAATGAAGTGTTGTTAGACCTACCATTAATATGTTATGATTCTCTCTTTGTTGAGTAACTTGACTCTGTATTATGTCGTGCAGACCATTCTGTCTAACTCAGCATGCTTATTTGATGTTCATATTACCAAAACTGATTCTTAAATTTGTGATGCTTGCTTGTAGTGAATACTCCATGCAGCTAAATAGTTCACGGATCAAGGTTCTTCAAGCTCAAGATGACTTGGTTAACTCTATGAAAGATGCCGCATCAAAGGAACTCTTGCATGTGAGCCATGATCATCACCACTATAAGAAACTTCTACATGATCTTATTGTTCAGGTAGTAAGGTTAAGCAAATCTTTTATTGTAATGTGTTTCAATTAATTTTGGAATCAAATTATGGATGGTTCGAGACTCATCTAAGCAAGCACTCCCTTTTCTGTATTTATATTGGGTGTGCAAATCTTAGGACTAGTAAGAGTTTTATGATGAGTTATTTTGTCAATCTAGAGCTTAGTCAGATATCCTATAATGTCCACTTTTTCCTTTTGAATGCCATCGCTTAAGTATGTATTTCATTTCTAGAAGGCCTCTGTAACAGTTTGACTCAAAGATTACTTAGAATCAGGATTTAACCTCCTTTGTTCAGTCTTGGCATTGGAATCGTGAAGTGTGAATTATATTATTAAGAGCATTTTAGTATTAGGTATGAAGCATCTTGTAGCAAATGCAATGGATCTAATTTTGTTCATTCTCCATGAACTTTTCCACTGACCAACTCCAGTTTTGTCAGTATATGTTTCAGCATTAAGTATATTGTAGGAAATGTGATGGCTATAGAGCAGTTTCTTCTTCCTTAATTCTTCTACTGGACATGCCAATTTCTGCAGTATTTATATACTAAAACTCTTAAAAGTATATGTAGTTAAACAACTGTTTATGTTTAATCTAAAAACAATATTCTCATTGTATAAATGAAATTAGGCTTGGTGGCTTCGTTATTTAGCATGTGTTTTGTATTTTTAAGGACAATGATAACTTGCTAGTCTGAAGTTCTCTGCTGCAATTATAACTGCAACACACTATGTTTCAGAGTTTGCTAAAGCTCAAAGAGCCTTCTGTTTTACTGCGCTGTCGGAAAGATGATGTGCACCTGGTGGAACATGTCTTGCACTCTGCCAAGGAAGAATATGCAGAAAAGGAAAGGGTTCACCCACCTGAGATCATAGTTGACCACATCCACCTTCCACCTGCTCCTTCCCATCATGATGCACACGGTCTTTTCTGGTATGTTTGTTTGACCCATTCTGTTACGAAATGGAAACTGTGGAAATTGAGTTTGTTATTTGAGCCCCTCTGACTAATTTTCTTATTTCCTTTTTACAGCTCTGGAGGAGTGGTCTTGGCGTCTCGAGATGGAAAAATTGTGTGTGAAAACACTCTAGATGCAAGATTGGAAGTTCTGTTCCGTAAAAAACTTCCAGAGGTAACTTTCATTTTGGTCCTTTTTTCACTATCCATGTAAGGATGCTTTCAGGCATTGTTGTCTTAGCACTGTAGTTTTGTTGCCATTTTCTGGTTTCAGTGAGTGTTATTTCAAATGTTAAGTGATTTAATTAAAAATAACACTATAAGTTAAAGGAAAAGCTCAGCCATTTTGCCTTCATAGACTTGTCCATTTCATCAATCACCTGTGATCAGGTTATCAAATGGTATCTTTAATCTATAGAATCTTTCCCCGTCTCTACATGATTTATATATCTTTTGGTTGCCCAAGTTCTTACTACTTGGATACACTTTAACTAGATCTCCTTTCTGTTAACTGCAGATCCGCAAGCTGTTATTTGGTCAGGTTGCAGCCTGATAGGTTGGATGTCTTTGTACTTATTTGCATCTATTTATTGATCTCTGAATTCTTAAGTTGGTTACTCGGTGAACTGAAATGTTATTAGTGATTTCCTGCTTTTGTTTCATGGTTCTCCTTAAGACCTACTTTCCATCCGTGAGGTGTCGTTCATTCTTTTTGGGTGAGGCATGGGAAAATACTCAATTTATGTGATATATTTCCTGAGTTCTTGCTTCAGACTGGTTTTCTCAATTTATTTCTGTAATAAGTGTAAATCACTTGAACCCCCCCTACCCTATGGGTTGGGATTTGGATAATAAAAGTTCATTGAGTCATAAACCTGATTGTTGCTCCTTGCAATTTTAAACCTCTGGTTTTGGAAAGCATTTTTGAGTCTCCACGCAAGTGATTTATGTACAATCTTGTGAGTTTTGTATTCAGTTTTCAATTATTGTGGTGTGAGCATTGGAAGGAAACTGGGAGCAATTGTAATTCCGAATCAAATAAAAATGGTTTCACTTTAAACAAATGCCTTGATAGAAGTGATAGAACATGCGAGCGAAAAAGGCCTCCAAAACAAGCCGGCTTTCAGAAGCATGAAAAGTCGTAAGCTTTTGACAAACATGAATCTGTTACATATATTTCCACATATGTGATGTTTGGTTCGGGAAATATTAGAATACATTATACATTGAGAATAGAATATTATTTTTAATTACTTATTCATTTAAATATTAATTTTTAATAATAAAATATGCTTATATTTTACATGTCAGTTCACAAAATTAAACAGTAAACAATAAATAATTAAATGTTAATTTTACGATATATGTTCTCATAATTAATGGACATGGCTCTTCCACTTCCCTATCCATCTAGTAATTTGATCCTCCTCTTGAACAATCGTTATAATGTTATATCGTAGACTATTCACATTGTCCAATACACATAATTTGACTTTATAATATATATATATATCACTATAATATAATTCATGTTTATAATACATAGAATTTATGTTCATAATACACATATACATAAATATGATATAATGAACATGAATTTTATACATTTGAATATAAATTCTGTGTATTATGTTAAGTGATTGTGTCTTCATTATATCGTTATTTATGTGTATGTGTATGTGTATTATTAACATAAATTCTACACATTATAAAGTCAAATTGTGTGTATTGGTGAGCACTGTAGATTCTGATCCACGATATAAATTGCCCTCTCTGAATAAACCAAAAAGGGAAGAACAACTCGTACATGTCTCGGTAGTGGCAATGTAGAGATTATGTTCAAAATAGATAATCCTACATTGACATTTGGCCCTATATATTTTTAGATGCTTTGTTGGACCGGAGTGTGAGGACCCTAGATTTCAACTTTTTGGGGAAGATATAGGAAAAAAAAAAAAAAAACATTCGAAGTTCGAACGGTGTCGTTTAACAGAGCTGTAGAGTGTAGAACTCATCGCCTAAGCTGAAGCGACAACCTAGGGAGAAGAGGGTTGTTTGGTTGGTGGCTGCCTCTTCACGCCCTCGACGAGTCCGTCACTATTACTAAAAAGCCTTTACCTACCTAACCTTCTCCGATATACTTGCACTCCATTACTGAAAACCTTTCTCCTTCAATCTTGATTTTCTGATTCTTCAGTATCATCGTTTTGTTGCCATGGAAGTCGCTGCCGCTCAAGCTCTGTCCCGGATAGGACTCGCGGGTCTGGCCGTGATGGGTCAGAACTTGGCCTTGAACGTCGCCGAGAAAGGCTTCCCAATTTCGGTGTACAACAGGACGACTTCCAAGGTGGACGAGACGGTGGAGCGGGCTCAGAGAGAGGGCCAGCTTCCTTTAGTTGGGCAGTACAATCCCCGCGATTTCGTCCTGTCAATTCAGCGCCCGAGATCTGTTATCATCCTCGTCAAGGCGGGGGCTCCCGTTGACCAAACCATCGCCGCCTTATCGGAGCACATGGAGCCCGGCGACACCATCATCGACGGCGGCAACGAGTGGTACGAGAACACCGAGCGCCGCATCTCCGAGGCCTCCGCCAAGGGTTTGCTGTATCTCGGCATGGGCGTTTCCGGCGGCGAGGATGGAGCTCGGTACGGCCCTTCCCTCATGCCCGGGGGGTCCCACCAGGCCTACCTCAACGTCCAGGACATCCTCAACAAGGTCGCCGCCCAGGTGGAGGACGGCCCCTGCGTCACCTACATCGGCGAGGGCGGGTCGGGTAATTTCGTCAAAATGGTCCACAATGGGATCGAGTACGGCGATATGCAGCTCATATCCGAGGCCTATGATGTCCTCAAGAACGTCGGCGGGTTAACGAACCCCGAATTAGCTGACATTTTCGCAGACTGGAACCGGGGAGAGCTCGAGAGCTTCTTGATCGAGATCACCGCCGACATTTTCAATGTAAAAGACGAAGAAACTGGAAATGGAGAGCTCGTGGATAAGATTCTGGATAAAACCGGGATGAAAGGGACCGGAAAATGGACGGTCCAGCAAGCTGCGGAGCTCTCTATTGCAGCCCCAACAATAGCCGCCTCTCTGGACAGCCGATATATGAGTGGCTTAAAGGGGGAGCGAGAGGAGGCCGCCGAAATTTTCAAGAAAGAAGGGCTAAAAGAGGATTTGAGTTTCATCAATGGCAGTGGGGTTGATAAGAAGAGACTAATAGATGATGTTAGGCAGGCATTGTACGCCTCCAAGATTTGTAGTTATGCTCAGGGAATGAATTTGCTGAGAGCAAAGAGCTTCGAAAAGGGATGGAATTTGAACCTAGGCGAGCTAGCTAGGATTTGGAAAGGCGGGTGTATCATTAGGGCTGTATTCTTGGACAGGATCAAGAAGGCATACCAGAGAAACTCCGGGTTGCCAAACCTAATGGTCGACCCCGAGTTCGCCAGGGAAATGGTGCAGAGGCAGGCGGCATGGAGGAGAGTGGTGGGACTGGCTATCCAGCACGGGATTAGCGTGCCTGGGATGTCAGCAAGCTTGCAGTATTTTGACACGTACAGGCGTTCGAGGCTTCCTGCCAACCTCGTCCAGGCTCAGAGGGACTATTTCGGGGCTCACACTTATGAGAGGACTGATCGCCCGGGAGCATTCCATACTGAGTGGTCGAAGCTTGCTCGTAAGGCTCGGGTTTAATGCAGCTGCCCCGAATTACATTTGGTATCGTTTACCCATTTCCATCCATTATTGCACTACATTGTGTTATTGCAGAGACTTTAGGGTGTCTCTTGTTGAGAACTTTATTCCTTAGCTTTTGTCGTTTTAGTTTTGCAGTCAATAAATTGAGCAATGCCCTTTTAATGTGATAGATATAGGGGTTTTGATGATTGAAGAACTATATATTTCATTCCAGAGAGCTCGTATTTTTGTGGATGCAATATGTTTATGTAGCTATATCTGTGAAGTTAGGACTGCTTTCTTATATTTGGATAGTTCTAGTTCTTGGTTGCAGGAGCGAATATATTACTTTGTGATCATTTATTAGGTGCTTGGAATTCGATTATCTACTAACGGGACAGGTAATTCCTTGAATTCATGAAATGCTGGATATTATTTAGCATGAGCTGATGCATTGTTGTTGTTCTGTAAAGTGCCATGTTGTTTTCCTTGTCAGATGTTCCTTAAGTTTGTTTATGTTGCTTTACTTTATAGTTGAGTTTAAGGTATGCAATCCTATGTAGTGGTTTTTCTGGATGTGAGGTAAAGCCCCCTCTTTTTGGTTGTAGTTAATTGTCAATTGTTAATTTCCAGCACTTTTTGCTTCTCTCTGGTAGTTTATGGCTGCAATTTCTTCAATTCTTCAGTTTTCATTTATCTTATATCTTATATATAATATAATAATAATAATAAGTGGTCAATTTTATAATTATTGAAAACTTTTAAGAGTGAGTTCATTGTATAATTATTGTAAATTTAAAACTGTAGTAATGATAAGCAGTGTTGCAAATCAGCGTCTAGTGCCGGCTGGCCGCCTAGTGTATCACCATAATCAGTGGTATTATGGTCTAGGCGGCTGGCTGACTAGGTCTAGGTGCTAACCGTCTAGGTGTAGACTAGGCTGCCTAGTAGGCGAATTAGCTATTGTTTTTTTTTAATGAGTTATTTCATTCAAAACGACATCGTTTTGAGCAAAATAGTTTTAAATTGTAATACTTATATTGAAAAATATAATATTAATAATTAATTATTTTATTTTCAAAAAAAAAGTGAAGTATTTTTTACTTATTCAGAAAGAATATAATACTTTTGAATTAAAATTTCATCCATGAGCTCTTAAATTTAAGGGCAAAAAAGTAATTTCACATTTCTTTTTTCTTCTCAAACGTCTTCTGGTCTGTTCCGATTTGAAATGGCGCCCCATTAGTTTTAGCATTCACTAATGATGTCTGTTTGTGTCTCTCTCTTCAAAATTTTCAAACTTGGATGATCTACTCCTATGTTCATTACCAAACCATCTCGTCAAAGTGCAACTACCCAGAAATGAAAATGTATAAAATATTCATTAAATCATTGGTTTGGGAGTGAGTAAATAAATGAATAAAATAACAAATTTTACCTCTCCGGCAGCCGGAGTCACCCAGATAGCCATCTCCGGTGAACCCTTCAGCCGGCAGTGCCCTTGAAGCCACCACCCCCAGCTCAAGCACCTGAGTATCTAAAGAAACGCTTTCGTATTAGGGTGACGGCGGCAGAGGAGATGACGGAGAACATGAGAAACAACTAATATTGTCTTTCCCACAACCCTGGAGCTCGAATTGCGTCTGGATCATTGTTGAAGGGATCATACACTTTAACTCCAGTGAGCTACAATTCTGCAAAAGAACCCCGTTGTTGTACGTGGGGGCAAAGTTCTTGCCGAACAGAGGCTTCATGGCTTCAATCCAGTGCCCGCATTTCGTCGGAATATTGATCATTGTCGTGTTGGGAGTTAGCTGGTAGACTGGGAATTCGCCGTCGATGGATATAGCTCCGTCGGAGGTGCAATTCAGAGGGATTTCGCAGCCGGAGGAGAAGCCGAACGGGAACGAACGTTTCTTTATACCATCATCAGCATATGAAAATGAAGTCAAAGTGAGTATGGATAACAATTTAGGAAGCCAAAATCGTCATATAAACTATTGTTAATCACTATTGGATTCAGTTGGAGTTGGTGAATGGTGGCTAGTGTTCCATCGTCACACGTCCGCGATTTTTCCGGCCGCAGCGATGGGAGGAAAAGACCAGAAGATGGGGAAGAAGAAAAGAGGAGTGTGAAATTACGTTTTTGCCCTAAAATTTAACAGCTCATGGATGGAATTTTAACGGAGGACTAAATCGAGTAAGGTTTTAATAGTTGAGAATTTAATTTGGTAAAAATTATAGTCGAGGACCAAATCGGTAGTTTCGCAATAGTCGGAGGACCAAATCAGTTATTAACTCTTAAAAAAAGTATTATACTTTCTCTTATAAGTAACCAATATTTTATTCTTGATTACTATAATATTAAGTATTACTCACTCTGTCCTATTTTATTTATCCTACTTACTATTGGTCAAATCAATTCTTTTTTCTTTGTTTATTTTCTTTATTATTTTTTACTCATTTTTAAATTTAATTTTTGTGTTTAATAGTACTTTTAGTGTAGTTTCTAAATATATAAATTTTGTATACTAATACTAAACTTAATATTATGAAAAATTAGATTAAAAATAACTTCAGTCAAGTCTCGTTAATCAAACCATACACATAAAATGAGACGGAGGAAGTACATTTTTATCTTGATTCGACTTGCATCATAGTCAAGAGAGACGAATGGAGTACATTTTTATCTTGATTCGACCTGCATCATAGTCAAAAATTTGTGAAACGGTTTTACACAATTTTTTTTTTGTCATATATAGGATTATAGGCAATAGGCATACATTATTTCTTAAAATTAAAAAAATGCAATTAAAAATACAATATTACAATGGGCAATTCTGAATAAGTATTATAATGGTGAGAATATCATATTATATAGAAAAAAAGAATGTAATTATGCTACAAGCTCATATACCCCATAAGTCCATAACTTTAATTACATATTTACATGGGAAACCAAAATGGCTTCACCTTCTTTCATTGCGTCTCTTTTTCCAGTTATTAGTTTACCTACCAATCTACCTTATGTAGTTTAATCTGAACTATACTTGATTACCAAACCCATTCACGGTTCAATGTAAGACTTTTGTAATTAGTTTTATTTATTTATTTATTTATATGTTGGTAATATTTATTCGAATAAATTAATTACAATTGATTTTGCACTCAATGAAAGAAGTACCAGACACTGAACCTGTGCTACGTTAAGGCTCCGTTTGAAAAGCAGAAAAAATGACTTTTGGAAAATGTTTTCTGAAAAATGAGTCATTTTTCAGAAAATATTTTCCTTTCCGGTGTTTGCCTACCCAACATAAAATTGTCTTTTTGTATTCATTTTTCAGAAAATGAGCTGAAAAATGAAAAGAATTGAATACTTCAAAATTTTAATTGTTTAATATTTTTGATAAAATCCTTCTCCGTAGAGTCGTCGAAATGGGCTTAACCCCCCGTCCTGCGAAAAGAGTGGGGCGGGCTTTGATATTTATGGCCTGTATTTTGGCGGGCTTTTTAGCCCGCCCCTGCTTAACCCGCGAGCTTAGACGGGCTGACGGGCCTACCAATCCATAATATAAATAAATAAGTAAATAAGTACGTGTATATATATATATATATATATATATACACGCACTATATATATATACACTATATACTATCATTATAAGTTAAACATATATAGTATATAGTAATGTATACACTATACCATTAGTGTATTGGAAAATGACTTCCCAAAAAAAAGGGAAGTCATTTTACTCCAAAACAAGCCTATTTTTCTTTGACTATGACATCATTTTTTATTAACCTCAGTTTTCTCCCTCTTGCCAAACACTGAAAATCTGAAAGACATTTTCGGAGTTTCCAATCGCACCCTGAAACTTTTTGTACGTTATACGCATTGCTTATGAATTAGTACAGTATAAAACTGAATATGAAACATGGTTGTATGTATTTAGGCTGCACAAAAATGTGGAAAAAAAAAAACAGTATCAAAAAGTTGGATTCTCTAATACTGGATAAGTTCGAGTGGTAGTTGCACGAGGCATTCTGCTCTCATCAATCCAAATGGTATCCATGGATTCACCTTCATCTGCTTCTTTCTCCATTTCCCACATTCTCTTACCTCTTACAATTTCAATGCAGAATTTTCCAACTAGTCCGGCCACGACCAACCCCACAATTCCCAACCCGAATCCGATCATCCAAAAAGACCATTCTTTCATCCTCCTCCTCTTCTTGTACGGCACCACAATGGAGAAATGTCCCGGACCTCTTGCGTAGCAAATGTTTAGAGCGTCTGTACTGCTCAAAGAAACTTCTCCTCTAACATTAAACATGGCACATTCTGTTCTTTTCTGGATTCCCGTGTTTAAATCCTTGAACTGGATCGATATTGGCTCTCCTGTCGTGTTGAATTCGAGTCGGCTAAGGTTTCTGAAGATGGAATCAGAATCATAAGCCATGAAACCGACCACGGGAGTCATCATAGAGTAGCCCGAGACGTTGAAGTAGACAGAAGACCAGTTGCCAAGATCATGGTAGACGATGATGAGCCTATGAACGTATGGGACGGGAAGAGTGTTGGGCGGAATATGAAAATGGCTAAAGTTGGCTCCTTTTCTCCATAGCGTCCGGCTTCTCAGGCGCACCACTGAGAGCTTCATCCCGGCCAGGCTCGCCGGAAGGGAAGCGTCGTATAGAGCTCCGGTACGAGGCCGGCGATGATCCAAGGCCTTGAAGGCGTGATCGTGAAGCAGAACATCCAGCGATTGAGTGCTGCTGTTTGAACTGTGAACCAGAGACGATGATTTCAAGAAGAGAAGCAAGAAGGTGAAGAACCAGAGATTGTTGGTACTGGACTCCATTGCTGGAGCGGTTTCATTGAATTCAAGAAGATGATGATGATGAAGAAGGAGAATGGAGAGAGAGAGGGATTTTCAACGGTAGAATGAAAAGAGGAAAGTAAATTAATGGTGAGGTGGAGATGGAGTTGTTTTCTCATACAAAAGTCATGCTTATGTTAAGTTGGACCCATTAGCTTAATCATGGGAATTTCCAAATGAAGATATGGGCATCTTCCTCCATGGAATGCGGGGACTACCGCGTGCTTCCATTCTTTTTACGTTTGCACTCATCATGACTTGTACTTGTGGGACCTCCATTGTTCAAATGTAGTAGTGCACCAGCGAATACGTTAGTTGGGTCTCTCTTTGTTTCGTGGAGTTGTACTTTATGCTATGAATATTGTATTATTAATTTTATAACACATCTTTATAGCGGTGAATATGTTACATCTATCTCTTTATTTGGTTAAGTGTCTCTTTATTTTGTTGAGTTATGCATTATAGTATAATATTGTATCAATAATTTTATAGGACAACATTGTTGGCAATGTTAAGAGGTAGGAGTTAGAATTATTGAAACGTAGTTCTCTTTGTTTTGTATAATATTGTGACTTGTCAAAACTCAGTGATATCCTCTCGCACAATCTTGTCGTTGAGTGTATTCGGGTAATCTCGATTCGGCTAATTCTGTCACGGTTGACAAGTTTTGTTAACAATCTTTGTCTTCAAGTAAATTTTTGATTCGTTCTGCTTTTAATATAATTGCAGCTCAGGAGGGGAAGAAGAGTTTTCCAAGTGAAGTTGTTCGTGTGGCTCGTGATCAACGAGAAGCTTCTAACTAACGTGGAACACAGCAATAGGCACTTGGCTAACAACATGGATTGCCCGGTGTGTGGGGAAGAGGAGGAGAGCCTTGATAACCTCTTCCAGAGTTGTGTTGCGGCACGGGACTGTTGGCATGCTTCTCTTAGCCTAACATCCTTTAGTCCTGGGATATTCTCCCCGTTTATGTCCTTGATTAAGGATAATTGCTCTAGTCAGGAATGGCTCAATGATGGGACGACTTGGGGGGGTTAAATTCTCCTGCACTCTTTGGAGGTTGTGGAAGGCACGAAACAACAAGGTGTTCAATGGAGTTTGTAAGAATATCAAGGAGGTTATTGATACAGCTAGTGTTCTTGCGACAGAAGAGATGAGACTCTTGGCTAAAAGGAATACAACATATGGGGGTAAAGCCATGTGGGTTGGCTGGTCTCCCCCATGAATGTTGGGTTAAGCTTAATACATATGGGGCCAAAAAGCATTTGACGAACTTAGCCAGCGCTGGTGGGTTATTATGAGATTCTCAAGGGAGCTAGATAGCAGGCTTCGTGGTCAACATTAGCATCACATATAGTTTCTTTGCTGAGTTGTGGGACCTAAGGGAGAGGGTCTACGACTTGGTAAGAATGGAGTTTCCGGTGGTTAGTTGTGGAATTGGACTTGGTGGCGTGTGGTCAAAGGTGATGAGTGACGACCATGACCTTAGTGACTTTTCCATCACTCATCACTTATTGCAAATTCCTTGTCTCAGGATTTGAGGAGGTTATCTTCACGCACATTATGAAGGAAGGAAATAGCTGTGCTGATTTTCTTGTCAATCTCGGTCAATCTGGAGAAATGGGAACGCCAGTTCTTGACGCCCCTCTGGAAGATATGTTGAGGCTCCTGGTTGCTGATGCTAGCAGAGCAAGGTTTAAAAGAGTCAGATAGTGTCCGCTTAGGGCGGTGGCGACAGTTGTCAATACGTTACATCTATCTCTGTGTTGTAGAATTGTGCATTATACTAAAAATATTGTATTAGTAGTTTTATAGAACAACGTTGCCCTTGCAGTGTTAAGAGGGATGTGAATGATTCAAATGTAGTTCTCTTTGTTTTGTAGAGTTACACATTATGCTAAAAGTATTGTATTATTAATTTTATAAGACAAAATTGCTCTTGCAATGTTAAAAGAGATGAGAATAATTCAATGTAGTATGTGAGTCAAATAGTCAATGTGCGGACGTCTTGAGAGTCAAGCCACTTGGCGCTTCTCCAATGAGAGAATGGGAAGAGCTTGAGCCTTATAACCTCATCCGTCACCATCTTGCCAGAACATCCCACACGACCGAACAAACCTAGTAATGTTGGTTTGTGGATCCTTCGAAGGTAATCCGCTAAATGGATTATTTTGCACTAGACTTATCACCATCGGATGGATAGTGAAATTGTTCGCCTCAATTGGTGGAACATAGATAGAGTTGTGCTTAGAGAAGTCTTTCTTTAATTTTATAGGACAGAATTATCCCTACACTGTAAATGAAAATGGGAGTGCCTCAATTGGTGAAACATAGATAGAGTTGTGCTAAAATTATCCCTATACCGTTAATGGAAATAGGAGTGATCCTACATGGTCTTCCTTAGTAACATAGCTGATTGGAAATGGGAGTGATCCTACATAGTCCTCCTTAGTAACATCGTTGATCAATCAATTTTGACTGGTCAGTGTTCGGTAAAATGACTTATTGCATTAGCTTATTAGTTCAATAAGCTAAAATCCAAAAAGCTAAAAAAAAGCTAGTTGCTTAGTATTAATTATGAAATGACCATTTTATCATTGTCATTCCAAACATTTATCTCTCTTTTGTTGTTGTTCATCTGCCTTACCCTTTTACTTTCGGTTTCATAACAACAATTATATGGCGTAGCTTTTAGAAAGTAATAATGGGAATGCATTAACATTTCTAGTTTTCAACTAAAAGTAGCAAAGTGCATAAAGAGTGAACCTTTACACACCAGGTTAACAAACATCATTAACACATAAAACAGTGCAAAAGATTTGCAGAATACAGAAGGTTAGTGCTGTCAAAGCTAGGTTAAAAGCAAACAGTGAAAGAAAAGATTAAAGCTCTGCAAATATACATGTAAGCATAGCATACATTTGATAATAGCAGGATGTACATCAACCAGTCACTGTATAACCTAAAAATCCTAAGGAAAGTTTTTAGCTTTATGGCTTTTTAAAAGTCACCATTAGAGCTCATATATGTAAAGCTCTGCGGGGTCCTGTGCTTAAGTCAATAGAAGAAGGAAAGAAATTACAGCAGTCAGACGATTCATTTTGTTAGTCTCCGAGTAGATCGTTGGGCCGGATAGTTAGCTCAGCTCGAAGGTGGAGAACTCCATTGATGAAGTAAATGCTATCGTCGGCTATAAATGCGGGCCAAGGTATACTAAACAGGTTCCTGTACCCAACGGCCTTCCCACCGGTGAATTTGTAGTTGCCTTTATACTTGCCGACGTACTCCTCCCCTGGCTTCGTCCTTGCTGCGAATTCATACTCGACCGCAAATGAAACCGATCCTTTCTCTTGCATGCCTAAGAAGAGCCCGAAGCAGTGGAACGAGTTTTGTTGATCCATGTTGCAGTGGGCCGAGAGGAAGAAGCCCTGTCCGCCTAAATGAAAAGCCTGTGAATACACTCTACCAGCAGGAAAGAGATTCGAGCATTCCTCTCGTTTTAAATCTAGGTAAACGATGCACTGCTGACGGGGCGATTCAAACTCGAGAACTTTAACTGGCCTGTACTTGTATGCCCGCTCCAAAAAGCGATGATACATAACATTAGCCTCGTCAACAGCCATCGAGCGCTGCCGATATGAAGCCTTGAAGAAGAGAGCCTCAAGTACAAGCTTGGATATGAGATCAGGATAAAATTCGGTGCAATTTAGGACCTTTTTCAGCTTTCGGCACGACATGAAGGGGAAACGAATGAGGCGATAAATTCGTGAACTCAAAATTTCTCGTCGGTCCACTAAATTTGGATAATGGATTCGAGCCCACTTCAATAAAAAATCATAAACAGCATCCTCAGAAGTGATCTGAAGGCTATCACTGGATAGAACTGCCTCAATTCCCGCAAGAGGCAAGTTCATCACCTCTTCTTGATGCCTAGTTAAAGCCAAACAAAAGAAACAGGAAATTACCATCACCAATTTAAATTTGGCCCAATAAATAAATTATAATCTCAAACTTAGATAAACAACCTCGAAGTGTCACATTACTACAGTAGAATCATAAGACAAAACCCGAGAAGCATTTTTTTTTTTTCTTTCCATCTCATTTCTCAAATTTTTTGCTCAATCAGGATTCAATATTATTTAAATTATATTAAAAAAAAAACGCCTTTTTGTAAAGAAGCTTACTTGGTTATATCTTTGAAACGCCCAGCAAGAAACTTCTTGGCAGCATCAGTCAAAGATTGAACAGCAGCAGCTATTAAAACGCTAGAAGGGAGGTCCAAATAGAGCAAAGCTGATTCACATGTCATGGGTAGATCTCGCAATACTCGACTACAATATCTCATGCAGGACGCAACCTCAAATTTATCAGCAGCCATCAGCACATCAAGCAAGCCCGAAGGAGTTGTTGTTGATAAAGTATTGCTATACATAAAATTCAGGAGATCCATGAGGGCAGCTTCTTCTGCTCCACACGAATATGAAAACGTGAGGCGAATATAGTTACAGTAACAATGAATCAATGATGCCAAAAAGATTTTGCAATGAAAAGTCCAGATCAATGAACAAGACTAAACTATCTCAAGCAAGGGCTAAAATCCAAGCCCTAAAATTTCACTCTCTGTCTAGGGGTCGCTCTTTAAGCAAATTATGATATGCTAACGGCCAAAGCAGAGATGTAGGACTTTTGAGACAAGAAGAAATAAAAACTTGTTAAATTAGAAACCAGTCAAGCGAAAAAATAAAAGGATATGAAGATGAAATGGTCCAAAATCTCATCTAGACGAAAAATATAAAGACCCACTAGTTAATATTTGTTGCATTTACCAGAGGCATGGATACGTAGAGTTACATGCCGTTGATCGGACTCTGACATACCATTCGAGAATAACTACATAAGAAAATTACAGGTAGCGGAAAAGGAAATGAGAACAAGAAACAGAAACAAAAACAAAAACACAGGAACAAAAAAACAGAAAAACTGCACTAGAGACTTCTAACCTTGTAAAAGAAGGGGCTTTTTGCTGCCAAGATTGGAGAACTGATGTGTATTGTTTTAACATGAAGGACATTTGAGCTGTTTGTGTTCAAGGATGGATCATTGCCCTCAGTAGCTTCAGCAACTACAAAACCATCTATCTTATTAGGAATTAAAACTACACAATAGACTAATAGTTAACCAGCATAAATCAGAAAATTGCATTTTACAGGCTATATATATATATATATATATATATATATATAAAGCAAAAGCTTGATTGCTACAAAATCAAATATTTTGACCTTTCAGATTCCTTGGGGTATTGGGGATTGGAATATTTTACCCAGTCAAGCCCCACTCCCCCCCCCCCCTCCCCCCCAACCTAAAAGCTAAAATCATTAGAGCTCTTGATTGATACAGAATGAAAAGAACACCATTAAATTAAAATAAGTCAAAACAGTAAAGAAAGTGCAAACCCGGGTCATTTATCATGATTCCAGTCCTTGATGGTGTTTCCTCAACCATTGCCACAGCTTCCTCATCATAGACAGGGCCATCTTCAGTATCCAGCACATTACAGTTCAAACCCTGCTCTTCACGACGCATAAGCTCATCCACAGCTAACGCATAAAAGAGAGATAAATCATTTAAGTTACACATATCAAGTATCAAAGAATAAGTGACATGTCAAAAAGCCAACAAATAAATGCACACGACGTCAGGAACAAAATAAACAGAGTGTGCATATGTTAGAGCATCCCCAATAGGCATAGATTTTAAGGAGTTTTTGCAGGTGTGACTAGGAAAAAGGGAAAAAAAATCAAAACAAAATATGAAAAAAAAAAAAAGAAAAAAAAAAAGTTCTTTGCATTAACGCGCCAAGCAGGCGCGTGGCATGCACACGCCCTACTAGGCGCTCCTGGTGAGCCTCACGCGCACCAGGGAGCTTCTTTGTTTTTTCTGGTGGGGCCCACTATTCCTGCAAAAACCAAGGATCTCCTGCAAGAACGTTGAACACTCTCTCTCCTATTTCTATTTCCTCCACCTAAGCTTTAAAACCTGCAAAAACCTTCCAAAATCCACTATTGTGGATGCCCTTAAGCAACATGTTAATTACTCAAAAAAGCTAAAATAAATTGAGACATATTCCTTTATTGGTTAAATGACAAATGATACGTTTTCAAACAGCCAAGTATATTATCCATTAGCCAAAGGTGACAAATCAAAGTACATTTACCTTTATAGCCAAATGATTTAGAACTATGTCTCTGATATATATATATATATATATATAGGCTTGCGCTCCCATGAAAACCACCCTTAGGTGAGCACCTGTCTACTACTGCCTGAGACCTGAGTGCACACAATCTACGACATGAATGCAAGCCAACTACTCCTAGGCATGCCCAGATAACGGTGGAGACCCCGGAGTAGTTGCGTGTGCCGTGTAGTAGATTGTGTGCACTCATACAGTTCTCACGTTCTCACTTAAGGCATGATCTCATTTGAACGCAAATATATATATATATATAGGAAGCCTAAGGTATCATGAGTACTAGGCTCCCAAAAAGGGCTGATATACTCAAGTACAATTGGCTACCAAGATCTAAGTAGCAAATGGGATGCCTAGGATTGTTTCCATTAAGTGATCATCATATCCAGAAACTAAGAATTCAATAAGTTCCATGACAGCTAAAGCAACAGAACCCTAACACCAAACTAACAAAACCAAAAGTTGCACCATGTCATCTCTGCCATTGATGTGAGCAAAATTCAAAAACCCAAATTTCATGTAAAACTAAGAACGTCCCTAAGTTATATAAAATGCCAATGGGAAACAAACATTCAATCTTTGATTTCCAATTTGCAAAATTCACATCACATTGTAAGAAAACACAAATGCATTCAAGAAATTAAAAAGAATTATTAGCCCTAAAGAAAGATATGGGAAAACTAACGATTATCCTTATTGATTTCCTCTCTGCGCCGCTTGCGTTTGCGCGCCCAATCCACCACGCTGCTAAAGCTCTCACCCCCAGTTTTGGAGCCGGGCAAGTCGGGCAGAATCTCAATCCTCAGGGTCCGGTCGGAGAAATTGCTGTCGTTGAAGGCGAAAGCGAAGTTGGCGTCGGAAGCCGACCCACGGTGACTGGAGGGAGAAAAATCGAAGTCCATTATCGGCCGCTGATCAAACAGTTCCGAGTTTTGATTTTTCATACACGGATAATGACTACAAAACTTTACACAAAGTACTACAAATGAGGATGAGGAAGAGAACCCAAAGCGGGTATTGGGTTTTCCAGGGATGGGGTGGTTGGCATTCGGATTCCGAGGGTTAGTTCGAAAATGGTTACAATTCTTGTCGGGTTTCGTGCTGGTAATGGTGAGTTGTAGGTTCCTTAATTTGGACTAATTCTGAATAATGTCTTTATTTTTATCCCATTTATTCCTCACAACAAATTTTACTCATAAAATACTTGATAATTAGGGGCGGAAATAGGTAGAGCCGAGCCTAGCCTAGCCGAGCTTTAAAATATTAGGCTTGGGCTTGTTACAAAAATTTAAGGCTTGGACCTGAGCCTAAACCTGTATGTAGGCTTTTGTTAGGTTCATGAGCCTATAATTAGTCCTGACCTGAAGCCTTTTTAAAAGCTTGTTTAATATGTAGGCCATTAAAAAGGTTTAAAGTAAGTTCTGCTTTGAGCACATTTAAAACCTATATATTAAGTCTTTTAAAAAAATTTAATAAGTATTTCTAAATAATTTATGAAATATACCTAGCTAATACAAAATTAATATATAATTACATAAGTATATCGCCACAATGCAAACATAATAATATTAAAACATATATAAAATAAAATAAAACAAGTTACAACTTCAACATGCTTGTAAACTTGTTTAGGAATGAATTCAATTGTACTATTGATTGTCATCCTATATAATCTCATAAATAGTTAACAAAACTCACATAATTAAATCGTGACACTTCATTAAATATTTAAAAGTAAGAACAATTAAACAATAAGAAAATTTATAATAGGATTAACAACAATGTTTATAGTTAAATCAGAATTTAGAATGCGATTTTGAAGGTGGAGGGTTAGGGTTTGATAATTATATATACTTGGAATTATATTGTAAATATAAAAATATATTAAGTATAAAATAGAATATATACTAACTTAATATTACAAATAAATTATATATATGTGCGTAAATAGGCTAGGCCTATAGGCCTGAAGGCCGAACTTGGTATAAATAGGTCTGGCCTGTTTAATTTAATAGGCTTCAAAATAGGCCCAAGCCTGACCTTTTTACTAAACAAGCTTGGCTTATGCAGGCCTTAAATAGGTCGAGCCTTAGGCCCCTATGAAGGGCCCTAGCCTATTTCTAGCCCTACTGATAATGCAAATTAATTCTAGTCAACTTATTTAGCAGGGATAGATTATGCAAAAGAAGTAATGATACAAGATATTTTACGTGAAAATTCGAAAGGAATAAAAGGCGATCGAACACTTGTGAATGGCTCAGATGATGTAAGAGTCCAAATGGAACTAACTTAGTTGATCGACAAAGTGGTATCATGAGTTATGACGTACACCGCAAGCATGAGTTATGACGTACAACATGAGTTATGACGTACACCGCAAGCTGTTTAATAAAGAAAGAGTGAAAATGTTGTTGTTGTGCCACATAGATGCTTCAAATTGAGACCTAACCTCCAAATATATGTTACAGTCAGACCTACTTGAGATAACAAGATTCTTACATTTAACTCTACGTTTAATGAATAATAAAACATTAAAGCTAAAATTTGTGTTGAACAGTTCAACCTCCTCATAAAATTTAGGTTGCTATGCCTGAACCAGCTAGTGCAATGCTGCACTTTCTCCTACCATTTTGACATGGATATCAAATGACCAATTACAAAGCACATCAAGCTTAAATACAACCCTTCTTTAGTATTATTTATGACTGCCCTCAATGAAATTTCATGCATATATCCAATGTGCTGGCTATATAAACCTGTTGGTTACACTTCTATACTAATAGTTGCCACCAGAAACATTTAATTTAGAACCCACAGCTTAAGAGAGTACAGAATCACAAAAACCTCAAAGCAAAGAATCTCATCTAGTAAAGCCACAGAAAAATCAAGAATAATTTTTTACTTGGAAATTCTAAGGGAAAATCTATCAAAGTCAATGTGTGATCATCCTCATCCCACCAATCACATAAATCCATAAACATGATTGCTCAACTAAAAATCACAAAGCATATTGGCCACTTAATTCAGCCTAACATAACATAAAATGACAAAGCATCTCAAAAGATCAAATTTCAATTTCTACAGAGCAATTAATCGGATCTCGAAAATTCCAAACTTCAATTACAAAATCAGATAGCAAGGTGCTCAAAATTGAACTAACCCAGGTGGAATTCATGACCACATTGAAGCTTAGCCCAAGATCTATCCCCTTACGATTCACAGTTTCAAGGCAAATCAAACACAACTTTGCTGCCGACACCTTGCCGGCTCCGCCTCCACCATCGCGATCGTCAAGAAGATCCACATTGTTTTTCAAACTCTTGTGTTTTTCATCGCAGAGAGTACTTACTGGGACGCAAAGGTCGTGGGTGAAGTCGGCGGAGGAGTGGGGGTTGAAGAAGTAGTTGTCGGCAGGGGAAGAGGTGGTCTCGGCGGAGTGAATGAGGAGGTGGTGAAGGTCTGACGAACCGTCTACGGTAGAGGAGGGGAAAATGTCGGCGTTGGAGAAGTCGAGAAGAGGGAATAACGCAAAGATGGAATAAAGAGAAGCAAACATCATGAAATGACGCAAATACCCTCCTCTCAAACAACCATCTAACGAAAATGTAGACGGAGGATTAAAATTGTCCTCGTCACAATAAGTGTCAATAAATTGTCTAAATTTTTTATAGAGAACTAAAATTGTCTGTGTCACTATAAGTGTAGGACCAAAAATGTCTTTTACTCTTAATATTAATTACCCTTTTGCAACCGTTCTCATAGCTTTGCATTTAAGCATGTACACTTGATATGTATTTAATATTTGCATACTAGTGTAGTGTGAGTTGCATATATATATATATATATATATATATATATATATATATATATATGTATGTATACATATACGTATGTATGCTTACTCATATCTATATTTCATACTTAATTGTGAAGTTGCTTGGTATATGCTACTTGATGATGGATAAACTATACATTTTCCAAAACTTATATATTTATACTTATTTTACAGGGTTGAGTGGTTAATACTTAGCATTTCATGCTAACGGGTTGCTTTTTTCTTGTTTTTTAAAAAACCCTTTTCAGGTTTGAAATAATGTTTTGCATGAGAGCACGCTTTGAGGAGTTAGATAGATAACATCTTTTAGTTTGGTTCTAGCTCCTAGCATGTAGTCTCATCCTTTGCCCTATCACTATGTCGTTTATTTTGGATACATATGGATTTTAATCTTGATGTAGCCTTAGATTACTTGTCTGTTTTGTTGGTGTGTAGACACCTGGATTGGTGTGTACCCTTATTTTGTTAAATGATGAGCTTTGACTCTAGACGTTTAGCCTTGTGGTCACCCTAGTGTGGGTAGCTACGGCAGTAGCATCCCCTATGATGTTTAGATTCTCGACTTTATTTTTCTAATTCAAGGTTTATGTCGTTATATCTACCTCTAAGTGTATGAATTATACTAGGCTCGTAAGTAGGAATTTTGGGGGTGTTACAAGAGGAGACGAGGTATGTGGCTCTGTGTGGTCTGCGACTGGAGGATGACTCACTGTAGACGCCTAGATGGGTGCCAACGTTGCCGTAGATTCTATGTGGACTGTGATGGCGTCGTTGTCTACTCGTCTGACTCTCTATGAAATGAAGGTAGAAAGTAGAGTTATCAAAGCTGGCTGGCAGGACGGGCCTGCCAAAATGCGGGCCTAAGATGGGACAACATGCCCCGCCCCGCCTTAAGCCCACGGGGTTAGGCAGGGGCCCATCAAAATTAACTTTTTTTTTTTAAATGTAGTGTTCAAGTAAATATAAAATGGCTGCTGATGGGATGTGGACCCCGGGCCCAAAACCTGGGAAGAAGAGAAGAAGCCCAAAAATAAGAGCGGCCCGAAGAGGAGGGGCCAAGCCCAAAAGAAGGAAGGCCCAAGAGAACCATGGATCGAGCCAAGAAGTCAGCTCGACCCTGAGGTTGGCGCGAGTACTCAGTCGGCGCGAGTGCCAAGAGACCGCTGGAGCATTTAAGAGGCTGCTTTGAAGATACGGGCAAAGAGACGTTGGGAGGCCCACTAACGGCCGCCTAACGGGCCTAAGGGTTAAAAGAGAATTACTGGGCCAATTTATGGCCTTAAATGTATGCTTTAATGGATTCCAAGGAGACCCACTATAAAAGCGCTCATCAGAAACTGTAAAGGGGACGACCGGTTCATGCCAAGAGAATACATACACATATTCACAAGAGCTATTATTCCCTTCTATTTTTGAAAGGTGAATCCACCAACTACGGTTGTGTTGGACCTCCCTAGGCCCAAAAAACCTAAAACCAACATTGGCGTCGTCTGTGGGAATCGTAACGAAAGGTTACGGTCGTTCTTGTGCATCGAGAGAAGAGTCGGAGACAGAGTAGAGAGACGAGCGAGCAAAAACAATGTCTTAAGAAATGACTGAGGAACGAAGTCACCCCTCTGGTCGAAATGGCGTGCCGGAAGCAGACCTGAGAGACCAGTTGAACCAACGGAATTCGCAGAGCCAGGGAGATGACTCGGCGCCTCAAAACCAGCCTCCATGGATAATACCCCTCACTCCCGAACAGATCCAGTTCATTGCTCGCGCTGTAGCCGTGCAGACTCGGGAAATGAGAGAGTCATAGGTCTCCCGACCGCCGAATCCGCAGCCGCAAAACCAGCACCCGCCCCAAAGGTCTGATAGAGGCGGGCGAGAGGATCGAAGAGTAGAAGATCCGCCAGCTCGGTCGGTACATTCGAGACTGGACCCAAACGCGACGTGTCGATCGGCGAAAGAGCGGCTGGGTAGAGGAGAACCCAGTCGCGCGCGAACAGGCCAACGGAATCGTGAGGCCGTTCGAGAGAGAACTCATACCAGGAGAACCAGAACTCAGGGGCGACGAACCGAGAGGCCCCCCCGCAACGAAGAACGGCAAGCCGAGTCGCAAGCCGGGGAGAGTACCGAGTCCACAAGAAATCATACCAGGAATTCCGGCAAAGTGACTTACCTGGCTCAGGAGTTGCGCAATTTGAAGGAACAAGTGGAAGGCAGAACCAAGTCTCCAGGTCGGACATTACTCACTGCCTTGCCCTTCTCAGCTGAAATCATGGCATACAGGATACCCGGTGACTTCA